CACAGACACACATAGACAAACACACAGATACATGCATAGACACATGCACAGCCACACACACATAGACACGCACATAGACACGCACATAGACACACACATAGACACACACATAGACATACACAGCCACACACACATAGACACGCACATAGACACGCACATAGACAAACACATAGACACACACACATAGACACACACAGACACACATATAGACACGCTCACAGACACACTCAGAGACACACGCATAGACACACACACATCGACACACACACATAGACACACACATAGACACACACATAGACAAACACATAGACACACACACATCGACACACACACATAGACACACACATAGACACACACACATCGACACCCACATAGACACACACACATCGACACACACACGGACGCACACACATAGACAAACACACATAGACAAACACACATAGACACACACACACACATAGACACACTCACAGACACACTCACAGACAAACACATAGACACACACACATAGACACACACAGACACACATATAGACACGCTCACAGACACACTCACAGTCACACACATAGACACACACACATAGACACACACACGGACGCACACATAGACACACACAGACACACATATAGACACGCTCACAGACACACTCACAGACACACGCATAGACACACACACATAGACACACACACAGACACACACACATAGGCACACACACAGACGCACACACATAGTCAAACACACGTAGACACACACACAGACATACACATAGATACACACACAGACTCACGCATACACACACACACATAGACACACACAGACACACACAGACACACACAGACACACACAAACACACACACAGACAAAAACATAGACACACACAGACACACACATAGACACACACACACACTCACGCGCATAGACACACACATAGACACACACACACATACACACACATAGACACACACACACACACACACACACACACACACACATAGACACACACACACATAGACACACACACACATAGACACACATACACACGCGCACACACGTACACACACATACACGTACTGGCACACACATACACACACATACACATACACACACACACACACACACACACACAC